TTTCTTCTGCAAGAACTTCTTTTTCCAGTTGAAAACCCTCGAATTGTTCCTTCCAGTTGTCGGCCTCAGTGCGCAATTCCATAATTAGTTGGTCCATATGAGAAACTCTTTTCAGAAGCTCAGTGCCAATCAAATTAATCTACAAAGAAAAGAGGCAAAAGGGAGGAGTTTTAAATAAAGAAAAAAAGATAGAGGAAATGTAAGTAAGTTTGTACCTTCAAAGAAGAATGAGCAATGTCATTCATTAAAGTCAGTGAGTTAAGGTTTTCTAACTTTTCTTTCTACACGGGGCCTAGCATCGGCTTCAACCACATATCAGTTTGACAAGATTTTCTCAATAAATTCCCGCCTTCAGGGACTTCGATAACAACTCTTTTCATCTCCCTCCTGCTGCTAGAAGGTCCAACCTCTGCATAAGAAACAACCACAGGAATAACAGACAGAGTAGAGGCAGTCAAGGGAGTAACAACATGAGTAGCGTCGGGTAATGGAAACTAAAGTTGGAAGGGAAGCAATGGGCAATTCTTCAGAAACATGCCCGAAAGCTTCTTCACCCTCAAAGCCTTGAACGAACAATCTATCAACAGAACTTGGGAGAGGATCAACAACATCTTCATCAGAAATCACCAAAGGAGCGCTCTCTGGCTCATCTGTGGGTCTAAAAGGAATTTAACTTAAATGGAAGATCATGAGATGAAGGAGTTTCATCATCAGAAACCATACATCTCCTAACGCGTGGCCTTCGCACCAAAGAACCTTCCTCTATTTCTTCATCATCAGAGCCACAAGCTCCGTCAGTTTTCCTTTTTGAAGAAGAAGCACTTAAAATCAGCTCCTGGGCAAGACTCAAGGAAAGCCTGGTTGACAGAACAGACTCGAGACTAATGCCGCGAATAGCAAATCCTAACAAAAAGAAAAGGGAAGAATGAAAAATTCTTGTATACGCAAGAAAGAGAAAAAGAAGAACAATGAAGGTAAAAAGTACCGTGCGTCTTCACTTTCCAATCGAATTTTTGAGAAAGGTATTTCTAGGATCTTTTTTCCATAGGAGCAGCAATTAACATTTTTTCTACCCAAGCACGAAAGTTGAGAATCTCATCAAAAACTTCCATGGTTGCTGAAAATTGGGTATATGATTACATGAAGTTTTTAAAGATATATAAAAAAGAAGAAGAAGAAAACTTACGTGCAAAGTTTCATTTCCACGGAAAGGGCATGTTCTCTTCATCCACTAATCCACTAGTGAGGGCAGCAACAAAATAGGCATACCAGCCACAGTTACGATCGTCTTCAGGGCTAATCAATACTCTCTTACTTCTAGCCATGAGAGAAAAAACTCCTTCACGAAATAATTTGGGGGAGTAGAGATGAAGAAAGTGCCGAAAGGTAAAAGGCACAGAAATCAGATCCGACAAATAACGAAGGCATGCAACAATCCTCCATACTATTGGGCCAATCTGGCCAAGACACACGTTGAAATAACGACAAAACTCAATGATTACTAGATCAATAGGTGGCTTGAACCCTAAAGTAGAAGGGTAGGTATAAACAAAGAAGAAACCGACATTATAAAAGGTGATTCTCTTATTGGCACCAGGGAATAAAACTTGAAAATCTGGTTTCCAGTAACACTCTCGTCGAACCAGGGAAAAAAGACCAGTAATGATTAAACTCGGGTAAAGATCAGCAGGATTGAGGGAGGCTATAGAAGAAATTTGATTTCTCATAGTTTCACGATCAGTTACAAAAGAAAATTCTTGGGGAACAATCTCTGCAACTGTGGGTTCACACACAAGTTCATTTAAATCTCTATTCCTAGAAGAAGATCTAGGGGTTAGAGGAGCCCTGGGTCTAGAAGAGGATGGCTTAACAGAACTACTCTAGGAAGAAGAACCACGATTATATAATGAACCAAGGCTACGAAGTCTACCACCTCTCCTACTTCTAGTAGGGGCAGTAGAAGGAGAAAGTTCATCAACAATCACAACTTTGTGAGGGTCTGGTGTTGTCAAAGACATGATTATTCAAAGAAATATAGAAGGAAGGGTGCATAAATACAAAGAAAGAGTAGTGTAATGGATACTGAAGAAGGAAGACTCCAAGAAATTAAAAAAAAATGATGTATTTATAAGAAGACACGATCGTCATTAAAGTTGGTCATTATGAAGCGTCATAATGGAACCATCACTTTGTGACTGGCACAGCCGCAGAAAAAACCCTAAAAAGCATTGAAAAATTACAGATCCAATCGTCGGAAGCCATACAGCATGGTCATTAAATGGATGTGACATACGTTGCATCGATTCTGAAAGAAACATTATGATACTCGAAAAACGGTGGCAAAGAATTCCCGCCATAAAAACTTACCATTTCCTGAATATTCAGTTGAGAATATTCATAAAGTGGGGGGACTATCTATATTGGTGAAAAAACATATTACATGTGGAATATTAGCAAGCTGATGAAACATGACGCGTGGAACAACGGTATAATGACAAGTGGCACACTCAATTAATGAAATTAAGAATACAAGGAAGGTACGGGAGAAACACCCACGAGATAGTACAGAGAAAAAAATTGGTCCTAACAGTTGTCAAAGAAAAGGCGTGAGCGAAATGAATAAAGGTTAAAAAGAGGGGAAGATACACGAACCAGAAGTAGATAAGGTAGGGAAATCAGAGCAGTTATAAGAAATCTATAGATATAAATATGTCAGTTATGATTATCCATGATAATGAGCAATCAATATAATTAATACCCATAATGAATCCAAATTAAGTGTGAAAACCGTTATGATTGTACGCTCCTATATAAGGATAAAGAATTTCATTTGTAGAGGAAAATTACAATTACTACTGAAATATATTTCATTATTCTCTGTTTTATCAAAGTTTCTAGCCTTGATTTTAGGGATTGATCGTTGATTCATTCCTTACTTCTCTTTGATAATTTTCTCTATTACCTTTGTTATTTTTCTAAAAGGTTATTATGGAAGTGAAGTAAATCTTGGTTATTAGTAACCCGTTTTCTCATAAATATAGACTTTAACTGAGAAATTTATTTTTTTGGTTAAATAATATTATAATTATGTACTTTAATTTTGTCCCTAAGGAGGTTATGAAGATCTACAATGTCTTGAATATCCACTTTTTGTAAGCAATCATTTGTTTTCTTTACAATTATCATAAACAAAATGAATCAAAGAGCACATTTTATCCGTATGTATAGCAGAAAAAAAAAGGATTAGTATATTTATGCGTACCTCCACAAATTGATATAGCTAATATAATTACTTTTGCAGTAGCATTGAGATAGTCATAACCGATAAAGAAGTATGTTGATAAGAATTATCGCTTGTGGAATATCAAGTTAGGGTCAAGGTAAGTAAAGATCCCGTAGCGATACTTATTTACAAGGACTCTCCTCGTCTATTGCAAAAATATATGGATCTTTGTCCATTCAAAACATATTGGAAACATAGTGTACTATGTTATAATATCACTTCTTGGTGGAAAGATTCATCATGATTTTCATGTTAGTTTGCTTAAGCCTTTCCAGAAAGACAAAGATGATCCCTCAAGAAGCTAGCACACGAAACCAACATCGAAAAAATACGTCAGTCAGAAAAAGAACAATAAAAGTTATACTTGATGACTGAATGAGTCTTATCTTAAGAAAAGTCTATCAGAAATTCTTGATTAAATTGAGAGAATGTAATGCAGAGGAGAAAATATGGAAGAAAGTGAAGCCTCCATGCATTCAAGAACATGATGGATGACTATCTTGCACGGAAAGCACCAAGTACATTGCTAAATAGGTGGAGATGAATGTCATGGATTACTTTTGAGCTATGCCCCATGACCCATTGGTTGCGCCCCTTGGTGCTTGACAAGCCTCCCAACGTCTGGTTCTATGGACGAATCCTTTGGTTTTGGTGGCTTCTGTCGCCCTATAGCTCGTGCCCAACAAAAGGTAATGTAAAGAACTTCTTTTAGCAGGCCAGTGCCAACAAGCTGATACCTTGTAACTAGTGCCACCGGGTAGTGCACACCATCTGAAGTTGAAGACACAAACGCGTCCCATCCAAGTGGAGTCCACTCTACTAACTTTTCCTTTGTAAAACTCTTGGTCTTTTTTCATGTAAATGTAGATAACTTTTATTTCGTTATTTGCATTATAATTTTTTAGCTTATTTAAATCATGTCTTACAACTTGGGCGTATAGTAGACGAAGTTTCCAATAAGCATTTAAATCTCAATATTAGTGTCTCCTCTCCTGGCGTTGACTTCTTGTAATCGTTGCTCTCTTTAATACAAATAAATTTTCATTTAATCCTCTTTTCAATTTTCTGTTTGCATACTATGATCATGATATTGACTTTTTCGTATGATATTGATAGTCTAGTCAAGTATATGGGGCCTTTGGTCGGCAAAAAGTAATTACAAGAAAGTTGGTTGCTTTGCCTTACATAGTTCTTCCAGAATATCTTAGGAAAGCGCAACGTAACAATACTAATGTTACCTAGTATAAATATTTAAATACATAATATTTTCTATTTTTTTTAAAATATTGGTGGATGGGCTTACTAATGAAAAATGTGTGGAAAATGTATATATCTGTTGGAATAACTGGAGTTGTACAAATTAGTTTGAATACTATTATCATCGAAAAATATATATTCCGTCTATTTTAATTTATGTGATGATGTTTGATTAAATGTGAAGTTAAATTATTTTTAAACAAGAAAATATGATATTTTTCTTACAACAAATTTTCAAAAAAGAAGCATGACACATATATTGGGACATATAGTGTAAATGTTATAAAACTTGCAAATTATTAAGGGATTGCACAATTAAGCAATTGAAGGAATTGGAAATGGATAAGTACGATCAAGCTTTTTCTTTTTCTTGTATTTTAATCTTTCTTCTGAGCAACATACTCTTCATTAAAATAGAAACTATTTTATTACGTAGAGTATCGTTTCTCGCAGATGTTACATTACACAATTCACAACAAAGGAATAAGGCAGGCCTTTTTGCACACGTGTCGACAAACAAACCAGATGAACTCTCTCTTTACGTTTCTCGAAAATTTTCCAACTCAAGAAAATTCCCTCAACTCCTCCGTTTCTCTCTGTCCTACTTGTGTTGTGCTTTGTTCTCAATCGTTCTTGCAAAAGTTCACCTTTTTTAAGGATTCTGCTGAAAAATAAAATAAAAAAAATACCGGGACTCACTCTTTGCTTCTGGGTATTCTTATTTTTGAACAGTAAGTTCTTATGCTTCAACTATAGTAATCATTTCCTTTACTAACCAAGCTCCTTTTTTAATTTTTCTTTTGTAATAGATAGATAGTGATAGTCTAATAGAGGTATATATTGTATAATTGGTTTCTGCTTTGTGGGTATTGATTCTTGATCATGGCGATGATGAATTTTACCTGTTTCTCTTTGAAGAATTTTTGGGGCGGAAAATAGTTTTTTCAGTACATACTTGCCTTTTTCTTTTGTGGGGTTTGATGATAATTATTTTCTTTCTTGTATATACTGAGCTTTGGTGGTGGGTTTCATTTTAGAAGAATTAACCCAAATAGACGCTCATCCAACCACTTAAACTAAAAATAGACGGTGGATGTATAATATATATATTATTTATGTATTATATGTGTATAATTGTGTATAATAAATGTATATGGCTAGAAAAATTATGTATTATATGTATTAATATAATTTGTGTATTATATGTGTATAATTGTGTATAATCTATGTATATGACTAGAAAAAATAAACAATAAATATGGCCGACTATTTGTGTATAGATACCTTTATTTTATGTGCTTATCTTTTTGAAAGAAATGGATTGAGATCTTCTCTATGTGAAATTTATGGGGTTTTAGGTAAAGTAGCTTGCTTTGTGTCATGTTTTTGATGAATTATTTCATGGGTTTGGAATGCTTTTGTTGGAAATTTGGTATGAGGTGTAGTTTCGGTAATAAGGAAGCTCCTTAAACCCTTTTGTTGACTTTAGCTGACCAAAAAGGCTTTGGAATCTTGATTACTGCAGATATTTCCATTTTGTCCATTTGTAGGACAAAAGTTACTCTACATACATGAAACATATGGTCAAAGAATTATACCTGTCCAAATCTTTTAAGGAGTTCTGAGTTTTGTTATTTGTATGACGAATCATTAAAACGTCATTTGAGTTTTGATATTTGTACTACAAATCATTAAAACGTCATTCCGTTAAAGAACCCCTTGGCTGCACTCAAAGGCGGATCCAGAATTTAAGCTCCGTGGGTTCAACATTTAAGGTTCTTAGAATTAAACCTATTATATTTTTAAAGTTAAGGGTTCATACCTACTATTTGTTGCAATTTTAGTGGAGTTTTATACATAAAGCGCCGCGTTAAAAGTGTTGGTTTCAGATGAACCCGGTAACATGAAGCTGCATCCGCCCGTGCGCTGCACTTGGCTGCCATCATCATCTTATGAAAAAAAATTCCATTCGTGCCTTCTTTTTAATTGTCTAAGATATCTGTTTTCCTAATTGATTTGTGAAACTAATGAACGGCTGAAGTTTTGATTGTTGAAACATGGATGAACTTATCTGGGAGGCCTATCATGACTTGTCTCTGTTAAATGGTTAAGTTTTCTGACTATTTTATATACTTTTGCTTGATCGGTTCAGTGACTGTAAATGTAGTAGTAGGTCGGATCATGCTATTATAAGAGTACTTACTGCGTCATCCCAGTGAAATAAAACAATGCTACAAATAGATGAGCTCGTGCTATTTATATGTGAATTCAAAGAGTTCTGATTTAGTTTCAAGTTCTGTTTAAAAAAGTTTCTACTGTACTGTCATAATTCATGTAAATAATAAGCTATCTCATATTGCAGCACTTACTTCATTGATTCCCGGGAAAGTTGTCGAAGTGTTATGCGATGGATATGAAAGGTATATCATGGGTTGGAAATATATATCAGAAATTTGAAGCTATGTGTTTGGAGATGGAAGAGGCTATGTACCAGGTAAACTTCATCCCTCTCTAAGTTAACATTTCTGTATTCCTATTTAACTAGTGGCAACATATGTTTGATATAATTCTCTCATACTGTTTGACTTGAAATAACTAGTGACTTGTTTCATAATTTCAAAGCGCAGTACCTTTTATTCATCTTGCACTACTTTGACCAATTAAGCATTCACCACTGTAACTGGTCACACGATATATCACAGGACACCGTTAGATATGTTGAAAATCAGGTACAGACTGTTGGTGCAAGTGTCAAGAGGTTCTATTCTGATGTGATGCTAGATATGCATCCTCATTGTAACATAGGTCCCGTGAAAGTCGCAGCTGCTGACTTGTCTCTGAACCCTTATGCTCACACTGAAATCAACAAGAAGCTGAAAGCAAATCTTAAAGGCCACAACCCTAGAGGAATTACTAAGAAATTAATTGATGATACTCAAGTGATCAAGGGTAAGGATACTGATTATCCATCATCTTAGTGGCCCAGAAAAAAACTGCTAATAGAGTAATTTATGACGTGTCAGGGAAAAGCAAAAATGGAGGAGTTTATAGACGTCAAAATGTTGGGATCAAAGAGATTGTTAGAGATAGTCATCCTCCATCTAAGAAGTCTGATGCTATCTGTATCGTCTCAAGGGATGCAATCAAATTTTCCTCGGTTTCTAAGGTTAGAGGAGATTATGAAGTGGCATCTGACCGCATGGCCATGACTTCGGCCAAGGCCTCAGTCAAAGGACATGATTCTGTAGAAGCAGCAAAGGAGGTTTACAATCATATTATGGATATAAATGTGTCTGCAGCTGGAATCTCGAGTAATGCTGCAGCTTCTGACACGAGTTTATCAGTTGAATCTGTTGGGAAGAATCAACCAGATCTCAGAAACACAGCCGCTATTGGTGAGTTGCAATCAGACTCTCATGGTATATATGTTTAGCAGTATTCTGTTTATTTTTCTCACTCCTTTTTTATGTTAACTCGTTATCTGTCAGCAGGTAGGTGTATGGACAAGGAGTTGGCAGGTGAGACTGGACCAGATATTAGAAGTAATACTCACAACGATGAGGTTGCTCGTGAGGAGATCAGTGAATCTTGCCAAGGTACTCACAATAGTTACCAAGTAGAAAAGGATTTCCTCCTTTCGATGTTTTGCTTCCATTTTTCTGTGTACCTGTAATGCAAGACTCACTACTCTGATATAATCTTGGAGAGTAGGTTTCATATCATTAGTTATGCAACTGACCAACATACTCCTACTTTTCAGATATTTCCATCCTGATTCCTCAAAATTGCACCTTTATTGTAATCCTTTCTCATTCTTTTTGTGTCTGCTAATGTTATCTTTTACAGAAAGATCAGGTAGCTATTCTTCTACTTCACCCAAGAAGTATGATCATTTAAACGAGTCCGATGTGGAAATTGTAGAGCAGTTTGATGAATTAAATTTGGAGGAAACATGTGTCCTGGTTGAAGGGGGGAGGCTTCATATTCCTCAGGGCTCAGTCAAACGGAAGTCGTACAAGGTCCCATTTCCCTCTCCTCCTTCCTCTCGTGTTATATTTGGTATTTCTTGTTTTCTATTTATATGGTTTTTGTTGGTTTGGTTGTGGTGGGACGGTTGTTTCATCGCGAATCTGCGCCTCTAGATTTTGTTGACAGTTCAGTTATTTTCTCAGAAGAAGCTGCGGGAAGTATTTTCTACGAAAAAGAAGACTTCAAGGAAAGAGTATGAGCAGCTTGGAGCATTACATGGAGATCAACTGCCTAACCTAGAGGCTGAAGACAAGGTGATGCAGGTTCTAGCCACGAGCTCGAACACAAAGAGCTTGTCAGCTAATGATCATTCTGAATCTGAGTGGGAACTTCTCTAGATATGGTGCTGCTATAAAATAGTAGTATTTCTTTTGCCAATCAATAGATGGCTTTGTACAGAACACCAAGATAAAGAGGAAGCAACAGGTGTTGTTATTATAAGCCAATTATTCTCTTTATAAAAGGTTATAACTAATTTGAGAATGAAAATATACTCCTCCAGTTATAACCAGTTAATAATAATACACCTTGGTAAGTTGAAGCAACTCTTTATATTTAGGGTGAATAGGCAGTCCTTTCTTTCAATCTTCCTTAAAGAGTGCATTCCCATAAAATATGAAACTTCTCCCTGTGTTGAACTCCTTAGGTTGTTACTGTTTTGTCCTTGCACCAATTTTGACCTACAGTTTTAACAGGTGCCCGTGCATATGAATGAGCTCTTCTTTTCTACAAAATATGAATCTTTTTAGGTGTTTTGCATTCCATCGGTTATAGTATGTCCTTGGCCCAGTTCTACCTGCAGAAAATACTTACCTGCATTCTGCATTCGGTATTTGTACTAAACTAAGCAATATAACTTCAGGAGTTACAATTTGAAATGCGACTATATTATCACATAACCGTAAAGTGAAAAAAGTTCATTTGCAAAACACGCGTAACGCGTAAGTAGACCAATCTTCGATGCGACTAAGTTTTTCCTCTCTGCCTGCACTTTTAATAGGTGCAAAAGGTACATAATTTAGGGGGATCAACTGCAATCCTTATCTCCTCTTGACCTGGATTCTGTGTTTTCACTTGAGTATTCCTATATTTAGTGGAGCCAGGGCAGATGCACCTTCGCTTACAACAACAACAACAACACCTTACCTTACCCCTACCTGGGGTAGAGAGGCTGTTTCCAAATGAAACTCGGCATCCTTCTCTCCAAGAACTCCCTACCTTGCTCTTGGGGTGACTCGAACTCATAACCTCTTGGTTGAAAGTGGAGAGTGCTTACCATCAGAGCAACTCACTTTGTCTAGATGCACCTTGGCTTAAATATGCAAAAATAACATAACTTAGATAATAAAATGGAGAAATAAATAGTTCCTCAGCTCACCTGGTCAAGCGCCTCTTTTGCTTCTCTTAGATCGTGGGTACAAACCCTAGCAGCAGCACGCGTTGTTTATTTTAAAATTTTTGTGCCCTATCTACTAAAAGATTACTCTTATATTAACTTCTAGGATGCTAGTCCTATTGTTAGTTACGTTTTTTTTTTGGTGTTAGAAGTTACTTAACACCAATTTGCAAAATCAAATGAATGACGAGCTTGGGTAATTATTTGATGCCTTTATAGAAAAAGAGGTATTTGGAAATTATTTTCAATGAGGATACTAAATAAAAATAAAAAATAACGAATTCAACTTAAAAAATAAAAACTCATCGAGGAGAGTTGTAGTAATAGTTTGAATGTTGTTGTTTTTTAAATATGATTATAACTGAACTTTTTAATGTTACGTAGATATGTTTATTTTATTCATTTTCTTAAATATCAACACCGCTTAAGAAAAATCATGCCTACGCCCCCCTGCTTTAGAGGCTTGTGGAGATTGGGATCTAAATTTTTTGAATTTTTTACACACTTGATCCTTTTTTAACTATTATTTAAAAAAAAGCATTATTTATTGTTTATTCCATAAAGAACACTTTTTTTTTTCATTATTAGCATATTACAAAAATTAAGCCAAACATTCATCTTCTTCACTCCATTTTTAAAAATCTGANAGAAGGAAGAGAAAAACTTAAGAAAGATAATTAAAAAGAAAATGAATGGAACAAATTTAGAAAACATATTGACTTCGACAGAAAATAAAATTAAGAAGATGAAGAAAAAAGAAGGAAAGCTAATAGATAAAGAGGAAAAAAGGCATGATTTTTGTACAAAGAATTATTGACTTTTCATTCAAATTGTTTATGTTTAAAGATTAATAATTAATATTCCTATTTTAATGGAATTGTGTGCTACAAATATAAATATTTTTCTGCCACAACTGTAATATTGAATTTCATGCTACGAATTTGTTATATTTTTTTTTTAAGTTGTGAGTAAAGTTACCAAATTTTTTCTTGACTACAGAATGTCTTATTTGGTGAGCTGTTTAATTTAAGTTTGGTGTCTCCAACTTTGCGTATTTTGAAACTAGTTATGCAAATATAGCTCTCATGGGAGACCAAATGTGTGAAGACTAGGGGTATCAATTGTTGATAATTTTAGTTGAGTAAAACGCTTTTCAACAATTTCATTTTTCTAATGTTATGTACTCCCATTGAATGGGTCTTACAATGTGTGAAATTAAAACATACTGCTCTCATGTTAATCTTTGAGACATTGACTGCCTTTGCCTTCGAGAGCTCATGTTAGGAAAGTCCAGTGTTAAACATCAAGCGAAAATATTCATAATAAATCGTTTCACAGTAAATAATAGGCCAACTAGTTGAAGTCCTCTAGTCTAATGATTGTTACTACTTCGCCTAAGTTGTTTCAAGACAAATAAACATTGAGTGTAATTCTGCGCGTTAATGGTGTATAGTTTCTTACATCATCAAATCAATATAATTTATAAATCGATCAAAATGCACTAATTGTGGGCTCATATTAAAGAAAAACAAAGAAGAAAATGGGAGGTGTCTAACTTTGTTGACAACTTTATTGAAAAAAATAGGAGGTGCCTAATTTTGTTGACAACTTTGTTGAAGAAAATGGGAGGTGTCTAACTTTGTTGACAACTTTATTGAAAAAAATAGGAGGTGCCTAATTTTGTTGACAACTTTGTTGAAGAAAATGGGAGGTGCCTAACTTTGTTGAAAAATTATAGGACTAAATCAACAACAAGACATCTTTTTTATAGCAGTTGAATGACATCTCTTACTATAAATAGATGCCTCCATTCTTCATTTCAATCACACCAAAATAAGAGAGAAGCAATAGAAGTTAGAGAGAGTAATGCACAGATTGTAGTCTGTGAGATAAATAGTGAGTGTGAGTAATATTGTAGTGAAGCGTTTTAAATAAAGAGTGTTATTTCTTTCAAGATTGTAGTAGTCTCTTGACACTATTAAGTTGTGATATTATAGTGGTTATATTGCTCCGCTCGGGTATTATATTTTACCCATTAAAAGAGTTAGTATCGTTGTTATTTTCTTATGTTATTATTATTTGTCGTGGCTATTATTTCTGGACGGGATTATTATTTTTTCCAACAACGTGGTATCAGAGCCATGGCAAATAATGGTACGCTGTCTTTTTAGTACCCCCGTCTCACAAAAGATAATTGTGAGAAATAGTGTCTACGTATGAAAGCCATTCTTGGCTCTCAGGATGTGTGGAAAATCGTAGATAGAGGGTATGCAAAACCCGATAATGAGGAAGTTCTGCCTCAAAATAAAAAAGATGTCTTGGCAAAGACAAGGAAGAAGGATCAACAAGCCCTCACGCTCATCTATCAATGTCTGGATGATGCCATGTTCGAGAAGGTGGTAGGGAAGCTTGAGAGATTTTACAAAATTCTCTTCAAGGAGTTGACAAGGTGAGGAAGGTAAAACTTTAAACTCTAAGGGCTGATTTTGAAGTTTTAAAAATAAAAGAATCCGAATGCATTTCGGATTATTGTTCAAAAGTGAAGATTGTTGTAAATCAATTAAGAAGATACGGGGAGGACATAAAAGATGTCCGTGTGGTAGAAAAGATCCTTCGCACTTTAACACCTAACTTTGATTTTGTGGTGTGTGCTTTTGAGAAGTCTAAAGATTTAGACTCTATGATGGTAGAGCAATTGGAAGGTTCTTTACAGCCCCATGAAGAAAAGATCAAGAGAAGACAAGAAGTTTCATTGGAGCAATTTCTTAAAACTCAGGTATCTTTCAAAGATTATGGAGGTGAAAAGAGCTATCGAGGGAATGGACGGGGACGAGGTCGTAGCAGTCATGGAAGAGGAAGAAGCAACGCTAACAACTTCAATAATGAAGTTAAAATCCACTAGACATTCAGAGGTCGTGGCCGTGGACATAGAGGAAGAGGACGTGGCTACTACCAAGAAAATAAGGACAAAGGTATGACAAATCCAAAATTGAGTGTTATAATTATCATAAATTTGGCCATTACTCTTGGGAATGTCGTAGCAATGTTGAAGAAAAAGTTAACCTTGTTGACGACAAGAAAGAAGAAGTTGAGTCAACGCTGTTGATGACACTCAAGGAAGAAGACAAGGATGATTGCAGCTCGTGGTATTTGGACAATGGAGCAAGCAATTATATGTGTGGATGCAAAGAGAAGTTTATGGATATCAATAAAATGGTGAGAGGTAATGTGTCCTTCGGGATACCTCAAAGATTCAAATTGAAGGGATAAGTACGGTTCTAATCTCTTGTAAAGATGGTAGTCACAAGTTAATTCAAGATGTTTATTATGTCCCAAAATTAAAAAGTAATATTTTGAGTTTGGGCCAACTTCTTGAAAAGGAATATGACATCCACATGAAAAATATGCATATTTGGCTTAGAGATTCAAGTGGAATTCTAATTGCTAAAGTGCATATGGCTAAGAATAGATTATTCTCTCTGAATCTTAAGACAATTGATGCAAAGTGTTTGAAGGCTAATGTGCAAGATGAGTCATGGTGTTGGCATATGCGATTTGGGCACTTAAATTTTGAAGCGCTTAAATCAATGGGAGAAAAGAACATGGTGCATGGGATACCATCAATAAGCCATCCCAATCAATTGTGTGAAGCTTGTCTTCTTGGAAAACATGCAAGGAGGAGTTTTCCAAAGGAGGCCATGTCAAGATCAACCAAGCCGCTTTAACTTGTTCACACTGATGTGTGTGGACCAATCAATCCACCTTCCTTTGATAAAAGTAAATACTTTTTACTTTTCATTGATGACTTTAGTAGAAAGACTTGGGTTTATTTCTT